TTTTTTTTTTTTTCTCCTCGGGCCTCTGAAACCATCCCCAGGTCTAATTGCTTCTGTTGACCATGCTGATTACTCCGGGTACCTTTCAGCAGTAAAAGCCTTGCATTTGCTTCCCGCCCCTTATAAATCAATTTCCTCAAAAGCCTGTTTGTGCAGGAGCCCAGGCTCTTTTCCCTCTGATGATGAATGTGCTACATTTTTCATCGAGACGGGCAAGGCAGGAATTTCGGTGCAGTGTGCACATTTTGCTACCGCAGTGCAACGTTGGGGGAAAAACAAATGAGCAGCAAATCTGGCAAAATAAAAGCTGGATGGGGTGGTTTAAAATGAGGGTGATGAAGGAAGAAAAGTACTTTGAAACCAACATGGTTTCTTCATTGTTTATATTTATTTATAACTCTGCATGGAAACCAACGGTACGGACGGGGATATTCCTTATTTCTGGGAATAGTTCATTCTTAACCCTGAGAATTAGCAATTAATTAACAAGCCTGTTTGCATTTGATGTTATTTTATTCCTCTGCAGAGAAAACCTTGCTGATGGCTCCCGTGAGGAGTTTGGCCCCTCTTTGTGCCGAGTCACCCCAGCCCTAAGGCAGCCCATGGCAATGACTCAGCATCACAGGTGGCACCACAGCCAATTGCCAGGTCAGACATCTCTTGCACAGATGAAGCTTTACTTTTGCCAGTGCTAAAAAGATTTTTTTTTTTAAATCCCATTTACATCAGAAAGGAATAGTCTTGAAAAACAAAAAAAAACAAATAAAACCCCACCCAACTTAATTAAAAGGTGGCAGGTTTTTAATCCACAATCACAGATTTTCTTGGCCAGCCATTCTAAAATGCCACTAAGGCAGTGTTATTTTTCTCAATTTGCACATGAGCAGTGAAGCAGAGGGCTGAAAGTACTCCTGAGCTGATTCAAAGCAGCTTCAGCTCGCTGCAGCCTCCTTGACTTTGAAGACACTATTCCCAATCACACCAACTCTTGATTCRCCCAGCACGATTTTTTCGAATTAACAGAGGATCCAACACAGGCCAGAAGCAGAATACAAATGTTTTGGGCTCTCAGTAGCTTCCTGTGCAAAATGGTATTTGCTTTCAGAGCACTCCCRTGCCTTTCAGTCCACTTTATTGGAAAAGCCTTCAGATGTCATCAGAGATTTCTCCTCTGCTGTTCATAATGAAGAAAATCCTCTAGTTATTGGGAATATTTATTAAAACAAAGTAGCAAAACACTAATACTCCAGTCTTTTGTGATGGCAACTTTCATCTCAAAGGATAAGTTCACGCATGATGCAACAAAGTGATGAATTCAGATGCAGCAGCTTTAGACCTAAAGATAATCACTCCATCTAGCCCTGAAAAGCCTCCAGCCCTGGGTGGAATATGGCAGAAATTGCACTGCAATGTGTCATTTGAACATGGCAAATGAAAAACACCTTCCCCCGTTCAGATCTCACGGGGAGGGAGCCTGAAGGCCACTATCCACCCCAGCCCATGCTTGGATGAGAATGGGACAGGGACAGAGATTGTGGGATAGAGCTGCCCTCTCCACAGACTCCCACCTGCTCAGTGCCTGGGTTGGATCCCCTGGAAGGGAAGGGGTTAATAAATGGTGCCCAATTGGTGGCTCTTGAGCTCTTGGGGTAAAGATCCTGCACCAGAACTSGGCACACGTAACCAGGGGCACAGCCCTGCCAGGAATCCCTGTAAACTTGTGCAGTCCTGAGCTGGCAGAAGCTCCTGAAATCCACATTTCTGGTTTGTCCTGGTGTTACCCACCCCATCCATGAATTCATACAAAACATCTGACCTCATTAGCTGGTGTCCTGCTCCTGCAGCTGCCCCAGCCCCGTGGCTCCCCAGAGTCCATGAAGGGTCTGGTCAAGATGGTCATTAGCCCTGGGCCATTAGCCACCACTCTGACTGCTCAGCTGAGCACCGAGGTGACAGCATGAGCGGGACAGAAGGGTCTGTGCAGCAGCAGGAACACCAGCAGGGCCACATGGTGAAGTCTGAAGCAAATCCTCAACAGCCCTTCGAGGAAACGTCACAGGCTGCTGCATTTCAGCCCTTAAAGAGGCTAGGGTGACCTTCAGCATAAAGAAAGAAAGAAACTTATGAAGAATTCTGCTTGAATTGAGCTAGGTGGTGCTTCCCTCGCAGTTTTCTTTCCTGACATGGTGAGATGGGCAGCTGTGACAATAATCAGAAGAGAAAATGTGTTGGAAAGGAGCTGGTTGAGACTGAAAGATGAGAGTCAGCACAAGGACAAGCTCTTGAAGAAGTTCTGCTTGGTGCCTGTGTAGCTTCAGGGCAGGCAGAGCCTTGCTAAATGATTGAATTCACTGATTCTTTCCTGTCTCAAGCCCTCGAGAGTGAGWACAACACACCTACTATGGGTAAAGCACTCCCACTGCCAGCATCAACATGGAACAAACTGCTGACACCTCCACCCTCACCTGTGGAGAAAGGGGAGAAGAGAAATGTCCCCAGCAGCAGGATTGTCCTGCAGGAGAGAGGAGTCATTGCCCTTCTCCTCCCTGCCTCCAAAGAGGGTGTCATCTGGCCCGTGTGTTCTTCCTCAGAATTGCCTTTTACCAAAGCAGAATAAACCATTCGTGCAAATCTGAAAAGCAGCTCCTGCATCATTCATAGTGTGGAGTTTTCTCTGTGGTACTATTAAATGAGAGATTTGGAGCT